CTCGGCGCTTTCCCCTCGCGCATAACATGGTGTCCCGCCCTAACGCGCGGCGGCATTGCCCCTTGCAGCCGTATGTTCGCCTACCTACGTAGTGGCCCATGGCCACAATGCGTGTGGCTGTATTTCCGCGCTCGCATATTGTGTTTATTTCCCACGCAGAAAGGCCCGCGGCCGCCGCGCGCCGAATGCACAGCTCGCGCCCGCGCGCGCGCGCGTAGTACGCTGAGCCACTTGGCCGACGTGCTGCAACCCCATGTTAACTGGGAAATCCATTCGGCCACCGCTGAGGGGCCGCTTGAGTTTCCAGGCAAACATAGCGGCCCTTCTATTGTGGGCACAACAGAATTCACAGCTCGCGCCCGCGCGCGCGTGGGCGCGTTGCGCGCTCAGCCACAAGGTCGACATGCTCCAATCACATGTTAACTTGGAGATGCAGTCGGTCACCTCTCAGGGCCACCTTCGTTCACAGGCCAACACGGCGGCCCTTCTTTTGTGGGTAACCCAAGATTCACGACTCGCGCTCGCGCGGTCGCGGGCGCGCGCGCGCGGTGGCGCTTTGTAAATCGAGCCACGTAACCGACCCGCTACAAACTCATGCTAACTTCGAAATCCAATCGGTCACCGCTAAGGGGCCATTTGATTTTCCAGGCCACAACATGGCGGCCCTTTCTAATGTGGGTAGTCCAGAAGTCACATCTCGCGCGCGCGGGCGCGTTGTACGCTAAGCCACGCGACCGACATGCTACAAGCCCATGTTAACTCGGAATGCAATCAGTCACCGTTAATTGGCCAATTAGATTTTCCATGCCAACATGGTGGCCGTTGTACGGTGGAAAATACAGAGTTCACAGCTAGCGCGCGCGTGGGCGACGTGTACGCTGAGCCACCTGGCCGATACGCGACAACCCCCATGTTAACTCGGAAGTTCAATCGGTTACTGCGGAGGGGCCACTTGAGCTTCCATGCCAAAATAAAGGACCCGATATTGCGGGCAGTACGGCTTTCAGAGCTCGCACGCGCCGGGGGGGGGCGCGCGCGCGGGCGCTATGTGCGTTCAGCCACATGCTACAAGCCCATGTGAACTCGGAATTCCAATCGGTCACCGCTCAGGGGCCACATGAGTTTCCAGGAGACAGCGGCCCTTCTATTCTGGGTAGTGCAGGATGCACAGCCCGCGCGCGCGCGTGCGCGCGTTGTGCGCTGAGCCACTTGGCCGACATGCAACAACCCCATGTTAACTTGGAAATCCATTCGGCCACCGCCGCGGGGCCGCTTGAATTGCCAGGCCAGCACGGCGGTCCTCTGTCGTGGACGATACAGAGTTCACAGCTCGCGCCCGCGCGCGCGGGCGCGTTGTACGCTGAGCTACTTGGCCAACATGGCACAACCACATGCTAACTAGGGTATTCAATCTTCTACCGCAACGGGCAACTTGTAGTTTCCAAGCAAACATAGCGGCCCTTCTGGTGTGGATAGTTCGTAAGTCACTGCTCGCGCGCGCGCGTGGGCGTCCTTTACGCTGAGCCACTTGTGCGACATGCTACAAACCCATGTTAAATTGAAAACCCAGTCGGCCATCGCCAGAGAGCCACTTGCGTTTCCAAGCCAATACGGCGGCCCTTCTGTTGTGAGCGATACAGAGGTCACAACTCGCGCCCGCGCGTGCGCGCGGGTGCGTTGTACGCTGAGCAACTTGGCCGACATGCGGCAACCCTAGGTAAACTGGGAAAACCAATCGGCCACCGCTAAGGGGCCACTATGGCTGCCAGGCCAACATGACGGCCACTCTATTGCGTGCAATAAATAATTTACAGCTTAATCGGCACGCTGCAAACTCATGGTTACTCGGAAATCGAACCAGCCAACGATAGGGTTGCACTTCAGTTTCCAGGCAATCGTGGCGGCCCTTCTGTTATGGGTAACCAAGTGATCCAGAAATCGCAACTCGCGCGCGCGCGGGTGGGTGCGTTGAGCGTTGAACCACTTGACCGACATGCCACAAACCAGTGCTAACCTGGAAATCAATCCGGGTTTCCATGCCAACACGGCGGCCCTTCAAATTGGATCAGGGTTCGCAGATCGCGCCCGCGCGCGCGGGGGCGCGTTGCGCGCTGAGCCACTTGGCTGACATGCTGGAAGCCACCGCAAAGGGGCTACTTGAGTGTGCAAGCCAACATGGCGGCCCTTCTACTGCGGGTAGCACGAAAATTCACAACTCGCGCGCGCGGGCGCGCGCGCGCGAGGCGCCTTGTACGCTGGGCAACTTGGCCGACATGCTACAAACCCATGTTAAACATGGAAAATACCATCGGCCACCGCTAAGGGGCCACTTGAGTTCTCAGGCCAACGTGGCTGCATTTGCATTGCGGAGAATACAGGGTTCACAGCTCGCGCCTGCGCGCACAGGCGCGGGCGCCCTGTGCGCTGCACAACTTAACCGGCATGCTACGACCTTTTGCTAACTTGGAAGTCCGTCGGTTACTGCTAAGGGGCCACTTAAGTTTCTAAGCAAACGTGGCGGCCATTCTATGGTTGGTGATACAGAATTCACAGCTCGCGCGCGCGAGCGCAAGCGGGCGCGCGCGCGCGCGTGGGCCCGTTGTACGCTGAACCATTTAACCAAAACGCTACGAACTCGAGCTATCTCGGATATTCAATCGGTCACCGCTAATGGGCCGCTTGATTTCCCAGGCCAGCATGGTGGCCCTGCTATTGCGGGTAGAACTCACAGCTCGCGCGCGCACGCGTGGGCGCGCTGTGCGCTGAGACACTTGGCCGACGTGCTAGAAGCCCATGTTAATTTCGAAAAAGAAATCGGCCACCACTAAGGGGCTGCTTGAACTCCCAAGCCACCATGGCGGCCCTTCTCTTCTGGATAACGCAGAGTGGCGGCTCGCTCCCGCGCGCGCGGGCGACTTGTGCGCTGAGCCACTTGGCCGACCTGCTACACCCCCATGCCAATTTGACAATCCAGTCGGTCACCGCTGGGGGGCCACTTTAGTGTCCAGGACAGCACGACTGCCCTTCTTTTGTGGATGGCGCAGAATTCACAGCTCGCGCCCGCGCGCGCGCGGGCGCGTTGCGCGCTGAGCCACTTCGCCGACGTGCTACAAACCCATGGTAAATCGGAAATCCAATCGGTCTCCGCTAGGGGACCACTTGAGCTTCCACGCCAACATTGCGGCCCTTCTATTATAAATGATACAGAATTCACAGCTCGCGCCGGCGCGCGCGCGCGGGCGCGTTGCGCGCTGAGCCACTTGGCTGGCGCGCTGCAGCCCTGCGCTAACTGGAACACCCATTCGGTCACCGCCCAAGAACCCCTTCGTTTCCAGGCCTCTTCGTTGCCAGACCGCTGAGAACAATGCAGAATTCACACCTCGCGCGCACGCGCGTGGGCGCGTTGCACGCTCGTCGTCGTCGTCGTCGTCCTCCTCCTCCTCCTCCTCCTCCTCGCCCAATCCTCCTCCCCCTCCTCCTCCTCCTCCTCCTTTCCTCCTCCTCCTCCTCATCCCCCTCCTCCCCCTCCTCCTCCCCCTCCTCCTCCTCCTCCTCTTCCTCCTCCTCCCCCCAAAGCTTGCGCAGTTAATGTCATCGTACTTCTGCTCGCCCCCCTCCTGCTACTCCCGTCGCTCCTCCCTTCTTCCTTTCAGTCCTCGTCCTCCTCGCGTTCCTCCCCCCACCTCCCCCTCCCCCGCCTCCTCATCATTCTTCTGCGCCCTGCCTGTTTCGGCAAGGGCCGCGAATGTGCATTCACTCCCGGGCGTGCCCGGGCTGACCCGCGAAATTCAGTTTGACGGCTTCCCCATCAATTTCTCTTCGTCACACGGAATGTTCCCGCGCTTCCCTGATCGAGACATTTCGCCTGGGTACTATTGCCGGGTGGACCGTGACGGATGCGAGCAGTAACGAAACCAACTACGCGATCAGCCGCGAATGAAACTACACACGCAACTCCCCACAAACATGTTTCGCACGTGGCGTTCATCGTGCAACAACACTTCCAACAGGGCGAAAGAGGCGAAGCCTTCCCACAATAAAATCACGATTTCTGAATTCAAGCACACACAGCCCTTCACGGCAAAAACAACAACAAACCATAATTCTGGATTTTCCAAACCATGCCTTCGGACAAAAACGAAATTTTTGAATATTACATTTTAGTTGTGCCCCCCGGCCTGGCTGTTAGCGTTTCGGGGTGGCCCCCCCTTCCTGTAGACGGCCCCCTCACAAACATGTTTCGCACGTGGCGTTCATCGTGCAACAACACTTCCAGAAGGGCGAAAGAGGCGAAGCCTTCCCACAATAAAATCACGATTTCTGAATTCAGGCACACACAGCCCTTCAGGGCAAAAACAACAACAAACCATAATTCTGGATTTTCCAAATCATGCCTTCGGACAAAAACGTAATTTTGAATATTACATTTTAGTTGTGCCCCCCGGCCTGGCTGTTAGCGTTTTGGGGTGGCCCCCCCTTCCTGTAGACGGCCCCCTCACTAAACACATCGAGCCGCGGGAGGGCGGAAAGCGGAGGGGGGAGAAAGGGCCGCCCGGATCTTTGGAGGGCGCATGTGAACCGTTGCTTTTCGTTGGGCCCTTTTTCTCGACGACCCTTTCAGAGAGGGGCGCGCGCGATCGGTAACGCGGAGCGCGCGCGGCGCGCTCTGAAAATGTAGTGCCACGCGCTGTGGCAGATCTGATAGTTGACTGCGCGATCCTGCGCAACCGAGAAAGTTTCGCAGAGGGGGCACCCCCGACGAAACGTTGCGGAAAATTGTTGACAACACACACCATGCCGAAAATTGGCCTGCGCATCATTGGATGCATGCGCATCATGGGATGCATGCCGGGCTCCAACTTTATCACGAGCGCCCTGTTGTGCAGCGCTTTCTCCGCCCCCAAACCGCGGCTTTTCGAGTTGCCGTCAGAAGGGGGGGGGGGGGGGGGGCGCGCTGAACGCAGGGGGGGCGATGCCGTGAGCAACTTTGTGCAACGAGCCTAAGACAGACAAGTCCCGTCTCATGCATGCCGGGGCGATGCTGCAGTCACAAAGCGCTTTTGCTTCGGAGGCCCCGAGCGCCTGCTGCAAACCCCCCTGCAAGCCGTCTAACGGAGCTAGGACAGCATCAGTGGCATGAAAGATTGCTGGGGCAGCGCCGTTCACGAGTGAGACAACGCGACATTTGAACAGTCTGAAGAGCTCAGCTGTGCTGTAGAACCTGCAAGACCGAAGCAGCGCGCGGAGCCGCCAAGAGGCTTCGCGAGCAACCTCTTGGACGGCACGGTACATGGTCAACTTGGGGTCGAAGAGCACGCTTAGGATCTTGAAATCGCCCCCGCGGGGGCGGCGCTCGTCAAGCATGTGCATGCTCTCTTTGGTCGCCTCGAAAACCACCTGGCTGGCCAGCCCCGCCCCAATCGTGGGGCGTGGGCTGGCACTGGCGGCGCGCAGCGAGGAGAGAGGAATTTGCGGCCACGCCGTCGAACTCCTTCCAGCAGTTGAAGACGCCAGCGAAAACGCACTCCGTGAAATCGGCCGCAGACGCAGCAAGTTCGGCAACGCCATGAAGCGCATTCCACAACGGCGGCCCCAGAACCGCGCCTTGAAGCGCCATGTCTTGAAGCAAGACAGGCTTGGAGAGAGGTCCGTCCACGCTGGCGCGCGCCTGTCTCCCAGAAAGCCAAGACCGAATGACGTCCAGAAGGGGGGGGGGGCGCGCGCTCCCGACGCGCGTAATTCAGCCATGAGGCGGTCGGAGTTGACCCAGTCGAACGCTCCGGCCACGTCCGAGCAGCACGCCCCCGCGCGCCGACCGTCGCAGACAACCCGAATCCAGCCACGCGCCATGTCTGCCTCAGCGTTTCTGCATCCCCGGCTCGTGTGATAAACAAACTGGTGGCCCCCGCGTGCTCCACCAGTCGAAGAAGGGAAGCAGCGCGCTAGCAAAGTGACGCTCGACGACTTTGCTGCGTGAATTCCACGGTAATTCGATGGATTCGAATGCGCGCTTCTCCTGAACAGCGGGCGCAGCCAATGAAGCATCCATAATTCGGGCCACTCGCCGCTATCCAAAATCAAGCGCGCGAGCATGGCAATTGGAGTAGCTAGCTGCGGAGCGCATGTCTGCTGAATCCGACATGGTAGCCCATCGGGGCCAGTGCCGCTGTCTTCTCGCAGCTTGCACAGGGCGCGCGAAACCGCGCGGGAACGTATCGGCATGAAGCTGGCCATCGAGAATGTGCTGCTCATATGCGTCGAAGAGAACGCGTTGTCGACCTCGGGCGGAAGGCCAAACCTATCACTCCAAGTATCCGCGAACAGATTGGCTTCACCACGAGCAGACAAGGCCCACAAACCACTCTTCGACTGCAGCGGGTGCATGTCAACTGACCGCCTGCCAGCGCGAAGAAGCAACATATCACATACTGACCACAGTTTCTGGCGCAATGGCCGCAAGTCCAACGCGCGCTTCCAAGTTCGCTGGGCGTACTTGTCGCAATGACGGCGAATGCCTGCAGAGCGCTCGCCCCGTCGACGTTCAAAATTCGGCGTCCCATGCGCTTCAACTTTCGACCTGATGAACTCCACGCGCGCCTCGTTGATCCACGGGTGGGTGGACTTCCGGGCGACGGCGGTGAAAGTCGGGATGATTTATAATGCCGTATCGAGAATGCGACCCGTGAGTTTGGTGCGAACAGCGATTTCCAATCCACGCTCTGCAACTCGGCGCGAAGCTGGGGCCACTGCGCGCGTTGAAGCAACCGCTGCGCGCGGGCAATTGGTGAAGAACGCTGCGCGCGCATGGCAATCGACGCGCATGCCAAATTATGATCGCGCTCATTGATGGGCGGGGGGACTTTGCGCGACAGGCCGGAAGACAAGTCCGTCAAGACAAGATCTGACAAATTGTGGCCCCCCGTGGGTTTCCCGTCTCTCCCGTAGGCCCATGCGGCTGCAAATGTCGAGCAGGGCCCGGCCCTCTACGCATGCGCCCTGCGAAGAGAAACGCAGCCGCTGGCTGTGATGCACGTTCATAGAAACAAGAAAAGCACAAAGGAATCTCATGCGAAGGGTTTCGGTACCGCCAACGGCGCAGCGCGTGCGCGCCCATGCCCCTGGGCCCCCGGCGATCCGAGCCAGGGTTGAGGCGCGGCCGTGCTCTAAGATGCAGTTGAAAAGTATGGTGTGGCAGCGCCGTCGGCGGCGACAAGAGCCCAGGTTCCGCCGCCGACAGACTTTACGCGGTTGTCTTGCGTGGCCAAACCACCGTGCAACGTCAGTTTGCTCATCCGTTGACAGCAGCACGCGTCGTGGCAGTAGAACGCAGTGGCGCGCGCGGGCATGCAAGGCCGGCGATGTGGCTGGCCAGCTGCCAGCGCGATTTCGGCATAAGTGACGGAATCCACGTGGGATCGTCTTGGGCGTGGCATCCGGCGCAGCTGCGTCGCAATGCCAGGCGCCGCGGCCGTGCGTCTGTAGCGCCGGGCCCCGCGCGCCCCTCGAGGCGGGAGATCAAGCTTCTTCTGGGGCCGGCAAAAACGATCGCGCGCAAGGTAAATTCCCCTGCGCGCCCCCCGCGTTGGCTATGTAACCAGACCGCGCGCAAAGGAATTTCGCGAGACTTCGTGGAGCGCAAAGGAATTGCAGCAACGCCCTTTGGGTTGCGCATTTCGCGCGCTGCGACAGCTCCGAGCTGGCAAGGGGGGCGAAGCAAGGGGAAAGGAAGAGGAAGAGGGCGACAAAGAAGCGAAGGAAGCAACGGAAGGATGCCAGGATGCGCGCAAGCGAAGCTAACGCTGCGCGCCGAGACAGATGTTCGTTCGTTCGGTTGGCCGTGCGGCACATGAATCGAAAAAGAAATGTTTGCTGCCTATCAAAAGGACTTCTTGGGAAGGAAATTTGCGCTTCCTTCCCGGGCCCCTCTCCCGCGCCCCGTTGCGAGCGCGCGACGAGATGTTCTGGCGCGCGGGCAGAGGACTGCCAGTGTCGGGCGGGTGGCCTTTCCACCCATCACGCGTTCCAAACAAATGCGGCCAGCTAAGCGCACCTGCCGCGCAAACCGAGAGCTCCTAACGCCGACGCCACCCCGATCCGCGCGTCCGTGCCAGGCACCCTCTCAACGACTCCTCCTCCCGGCGCAAAAGCAATGTGACCTCTCCCTGCCCAGGGGGCCGGCGCCAGAGAGCTAGCAACATCGGGCCAATACTCGCGTGGACTATGTGCCAAGACCGCTCCGCATCAAGGGAACCGCCAAACATGGACGGCGCAATACTTCAAATATTCACGCGCTAACAACGTGATGCCTCCGCCGTGTCTGCCGTCGTGGCGGTCGAGGCGCGATGCGACAGTATCCGTGACATACGTGTCTAACCAAGACTCGGCGATTGCCGCGACATCGGGAACATTGCAACAGTTCAAGACGGCCCTGAAGTTCGGAATGGTGCGGAAGAAAACAGCGCAACTTCGCAGGCCACGTGGAAAATGCAGCTGAGGACCTGGCGATTCTGGCTCGGATTTCCGCGAGCCGTCGCCAGGAGGGTGCTATGAAGCCAATGCTGGCCACGAATATGACGTGCAAAAACAGACCGAGGACCTCGACGTCGGTGGCGTCGGGGCGTCAGCTGTTGGGGCCGCTCATCTGCCAGGAGCTGGCGGGCGCGCCGTGGAACGTGAACAGGATGCGCATTTGGACGGGCATCAGGATGATGAGCGGCCCCGGGAAACCCCTAAGGGATCATGAAGTCGGCGGGAGGCTGCAAAAACACCCCCTCGACGTCATTCTCCCCCTGCTTGAACGCGGTGGTGCCGATGACCGTCGCGAGCCTCTCCCGGGGGCCGTCGACTTCCCGCTCAATCTTAACCTCTTTACCCGTGGTCAGTGTGGAGGCCTTGATGAGTCCCTCGGCCTTTCGCATGGCATAGTTCCGCTTGCGTTGCATATCTGTGCGGGATGGCTTGATGATCAGTTTTTGCTACCGACGTTAAGCTCGATGCTGGATAAGGACACGTTGGAAAGAAAACACTTGGCCACCTTGATGTCAGAAGATTCGACCCTGCAGCCTGGAGAAGACTTACGATTCGTGTGCGGACCGTTGTGCTCATTACCGAATCCAGATGGCCGGAACGTCTTGAAGTGGTCCGACATGAAGGCCTCCATCTTCGCGATGCGGGCGACGGCATCGACGTCGCCAGGCTGGCCTACGAAAGCGACTCGACGGCGAGCCGGGTCCATGCGGGTGACGCTGTTCTGCAAATCCTTGATGGTGCGTGCGTCAGCGCCTGATGAAGGCGATTGGGAATCCAAGACAAATGCTCTGGAGCCTAAGTCGTAACAGAGGTCATTGGGGGAACGACGGCCTCTGCAACAGCGACCTTGGCGTCATTCTTCATTTCTTTCGTGAACTCGTCAAAGTCCCCCTTCATGTCATCGATGTTCGACTTGAGAACCAGCTTGTCCATCTTCGCTGACACCGCCTGGATGGCTTCAAGGACCTCCACGTTCGGAGACTGAGCTGAGCTACCCTGAGATCCAGATCCCAGTGTCTGAGTCAGACACTCCTTCAAGAGTTGGATCTTCTCGAGCTTCTCCTTCACTGGAGAAGTTGAAGGTCCTCGTTTGGTGGTCGACGCAAAGGCGCTGTCGAGGTTAGCCTGAACTTTCGGACTGGCCATGGCGGCGCAACGTGAGTAGGGGTGTGGAAAGGAAGCCTAAGCCTAAGCCTACGCCAATTGTTGGAACATTGCAAGTCAGTTTCCCAGCTGCAGCGGCCAGCCCGTGCCTGAATGCTGGGATGGCTATTGGCCTTGAGCCAAGACGCATGCCTCGAAAATGCGGATCTTCCGCCGGGTGTTAATTCCGTGCTTTGCGCTGCATCCTCGCTGGGCAATTGGAAGGTGCATCGCAGGGCGTCGGCGACGTCGGTGGTGCATCGGCGATGCCGTCGTGGAGACCAGCGGGCTCCACATCGAGCCGCGGGAGAGCGGAGGGGGAGGAGGGCCGCCCGGCTTTTGGGGGCGTGCGTGAATCCCGTGCTTTGCACTGGACCCTCGCTGGGCAATTGCGAAGCAAATGCGCTTGGCTCGTCGGCATTTGAGCCGGCAGGACCGTCAGACTGGCCAAGTTGGTTCTGCTTGGACAGCCCTGGAAGCATAATGTCCAACCACAGGGAGTGCAAGGGCGTTGGTGAGGCATGGGAAGAGAGAGTAATGTAATATGGATGATAATGGGATGCGGCGAAGGTAGCGGAAGGGCATCATAATGAGGAGGGTGAACTATGTGTGTGTGTGTGTGTGTTTGCTTGTGCGTGTTTCTCCTCTCTCTATGTGTATATCTATATGTGCATGTGACAAAAACAGAATCCGCCACCGTGCCGCTGGGCACGGAGTGGGCGTGTCTTCAAGTCCTTTGCCCAACCCCAACTCCCACCAGACCTTTGGGCGACGGTGGTTTAGAAAGAAAGTTTCCCCTTCCACCCCTCCTTCTTCCCCTTCGGGGAGGGATTTACCCCTCCCCCAACCCCCTCCCTTGGACCTGGAGGGGGGGGGGGGGGGCGCGAGGTGTCAGGGCGTCCAAAATGGCCTCGGCGAGGAAGCCCAAATCATTAATTTTACTTAGGTTTTGGCCCCATGTTGGCCTCTTGGGGTGGGGGACACTAATTGAACACCCCCCTCCTGTGATCGATTTCGCCCAAGATGGCCCACAGATGGCCCCCAAGGCTCCCAAGGGTGCCTCAAGAGGGCCCCAAGAGGTGGCCAGGAAACCCCAAGAGGCCCCCAGGAGGTCCCCAGGATGCCCCCAAGAGGCTTCCAAGAGACCTCCAAGAAACATCCAAGAGGCCCCCCCAGAG